CTTGAAGCCCATGTCTAGTCTTGTGATAACTCCCCCAAACAGCTCCCACTCTTGGCCTTTTCATGTCACCTTCTTCTGCCCTTGAGGTGCACAACTGGGGATGTGGCATTACCCTTCCTTAGCATATCCTGCAACAGTTGCTTTACAAGACAAGGGATGTTGGCATTAGTTATCAGGCTGTTGGCTGGTAATGGGGAAAGGGACACAGGACCCTGCTATGTTGCATATCAACACAAATTCTATGGAAAAACTTTTTGCTCATCTTTCCTTGTTGTCTCCCACCACCAGTTTTTCTTTTTTTTCTCCCACAGGAATCCAAACCTTTCTTTCTTTTTTTTTTTTTTTTTTAGCTGAGACATCCTGCCACCTGTTGGCAGCTCAATGGCAGCTCAGCTCGGGCCGGACTCGAACTGCTGTTGCTCAGGGCTCAAACCTTTGAGCGAGCTCTTAACCAACTGAGCCACTCAGCCGGCCTTTTTTTTTTTTTAGCTGAGCCAACTTGTCACCTGTTGGCAGCTCAGCGGCTGCTCAGCTCGGGCCGGGACTCGAACTGCTGTTGCTCAGGGCTCAAACCTTTGAGCGAGCTCTTAACCAACTGAGCCACTCAGCCGGCCTTTTTTTTTTTTTAAGATTTTTATTGGGAAACTGGGGGAAGGGGAACAGACAAGTTGCTGTCCTTTTTGTTCTTCAGTCTGATTGTGCAGGACGTTGCTTCACTGGCCCAAGTTGGCACCATCATTGTGCTCTTCCTGGGTAAGGCAGATCAGTTGCCGGCTTCTGGATGGCCGCTCCCAGCGGCTGCTGGCTGCTCACGCTGGCTGCTGGCTACACACGGTAGCCCATGGCAACCCACTGCAGCAGGGGCTGCAGCCTATGCCATACCCTGCAACTCCAGGTTGAGCTGTTGTTCAGCATCTTAGCTGTAGAGGGCAGTGTCACTGGCCCTCATATGTGGGATCCGAACCGGGGCCCTCTGGCGTCCCAAGCCTGCTCTTCACCATTGCACCCCTCAGCCGGCCCAATCCAAACCTTTCTTAATGGCCCTGGCTCTCCCCACAATATGCCAGCTGCACCTCACAATCATTGTGACAACCAAATGTTCCCTTCACACTTCTAAGATGCCCCCTAAGTGGTGGAACTTGCCTCCATTGAAAATTGCTTGTCTTGTTGATCTTGGACAGAGACACTAGATGTCTTGGGAAGCAAGGGACACCCTGACACAGTGAAAACTCTTTGCCCATCCTGTACAATCTCAGATATCCAGGTGCTCATTTCAGGTAGGTGAAAACCCTGTTTATAATTATCTGAGTCTAGGACTCTGTCTTATTTAATTATAGAGTAGTTTTTGTTAAGTTTTAAAATACAATAAAATTTCCAGGAATGCAACTTCTTGTTAACTAAAGGAAGATTATACTTTCTTTTGTTCAGGACTTGACTAAGAGTCATTCACCATTTCAGAAAATCATGTCACAGACAACAATGCCCTGTGTAGTATTTGTGTCCCTAGAATCAGCCTACATTTTTAGCTTTCACTATCACAGTAATTCTACTTAGGAGCAAACATCTGACTTTATCATGTTTTCTAGTGTAGTTGCACCCAAGCATATACACAGTGAGCACAGTGATATATTTAATTTACAGTGAATATATATTATTTTATTATAAGATAACTTTCACTATATTTCCCCTTTATTAGGTTAGGTTAGTGTCTTAGTTCATTTGGGTGGCAATAACAAAATACCAGAGACTGGGTAGCTTATAAACAACAGAGATTTATTTCTCACAGTTCTGGAGGCTGGAAGTCCTAGATCGGGGTGCCGGCATGGTCTGGTGAAGGCCTTTTCTGGGTTGCAGACTTCTTGCTGTGTCCTCACATAGTGGAAGAGAAGGACCTAAGGATCTCTTTGAAGCCTCTTTTATAAGGCACTACTCCCATTCACCAGGGTTCTGCCCTTATAATTTAAGTACCTTCCAAAGGCCCCACCTACTAACACCATCATCTTTGGGGGTGAGGATTTCAACATATGAATTTGGGGGAGACACAAACATTCAGACCATTGGAATTAGTAATTCATGCTTTTTTAGATATGAGTTAGTAAATTAGGTATGAATTTCATTTTGGAGTAGCAAAAGAGATGTTATATAATATTTACTATAGTGAGAGTAAAGTATAATACTTTATGTGTTAGTTTCCTGTTGCTGCTGTAACACAGTACCACAAACTTAGTGGCTTAAAATAACACACATTTATTATCTTGCAGTTTGGCTCCTTCCTTTCTCTTCAAAGCCAGCAATATAGCATCTTTAAATATCTCTCTCTTCTGACCCTGTGCTTTCATTGTCACATCTTTTCTGACTGTGACCCCCTATCTTTGTCTTATACAGATTCTTGTGATTCCATTGGGCCCACTTAGATAACCCAGGATAATCTCCCTCTCTCAAGATCCTTAATTTAGTCACATTTGCAAAGTCCCTTTTGCCATGTAAGTTAATGTATCCACAGATCTGGGGATATGGACCTGGACACCTTTGGGGGGGCCATTATCCTGTCTGTAATACTTTAATAATATAATACTTGTCCTGATAAGGTTGAAACTCAGATATAACTAAAGCACTGTGCTTAATGCTCCTTCTCTTTCTGTTTTTAGGGCAGGTAGATTTTTTTTTAAGAAGTTTCTGGTTGTTGCAAGGCCTTGAGTTGCCAGGCAATGTAGGTCTAAGAGCATTTACTTGAAGCTAACCTGGATTGAAGAATTTCTTTTTAATCTTTTTCTCCCCCTTGGAATTATGCGATGTTTACTTTTTGGGGCACCCAACTTTAAATGTCTTAAGTTGTTTTACTCTTCTGGATACATCAGAAGTCAATGAAGTATTCTTTTTTTTCTTTCTTTTTTTTTTTAAGGAGGGCACAGCTCACAGTGACCCATGCAGGGATTGAACTGGCAACCTTTGATGTTATCAGCACCACACTCTAACCAACTGAGCTAACTGGCCACCCTCGCACTAAGGTATTCTTTAGCTCCAGGGTCTATGTGTTGTGACCTATAAATCAGGATATACGGTCTGTCAAAGGATTTTTGATTTGCTTCCAAGATTCAAAGGAGTTTTAAGAGATGCAATTTGGTTGAAAACACATTAGAATTTCTAGCACATCTTGATAGTTTTGGGAAGATAATGTGATGGAAAAATAAAGTAAAATAGCTATCTTTTTTTTCAGTTATAGTTGACATTCAATATTATTGTTATTATATTTTAATTGGAGAATTGGGGGGAGTGGAACAGCGTTGGGGAATTGGGGAAGGGGAACAGACAGGTAGACAAATTGCTGTTTTGTTCTTCAGCCTAGTTGTGGAGGACATCGCTTCACTGGCCCTTGTTGGTATGATCATTGTGCTCTTCCCGGGTGAGGCAATCGGTCGCCGGTCATTGGTCGGCTGCTCACAGCGGCTCCCGGTAGCTCACACCGGCTACCAGCCGCTCACGCTGGCTGCCAGCCACTCACATAGCTCACGGCAGCCCACTGCAACCCTGCTGCAGCCTACGTCGTCGCTGGAAACTCACAGCAGCCCAGCTCCAGGTCGAGCTGTTGTTCATCATCTTAGCTGTAGAGGGCGCAGCGTCACTTGCCCTCAATGTGGGATCCGAACCGCAGCCCTGCTGCTCAGAACTGGTGCTCCCAAGCGAGCTCTTAACCAGCTGAGCCACTCGGCCGGCCCGACATTCAATATTATTGTATGTTAGTTTCAGGTGTACAGCATAGTGGTTAGACATTTATATAATTTATGCAGTGATCCCCCCGAATAGTCTGGTACCCAGCTGGCACTATACATAGTTGTTGCCATAAATTCTTTGTGAAGTATCAAGCACTGTGCTATATCCTTTATACATATTATCTCATTTAACATTCACGACAGTCCAGAGAGGTAGAAACTCTCACACTGTTTTAGAGGTTCTATCTCAAAGTCATAGTGGTAGGCCCAGAATTCAAATGTAGATCTCAGAAGCTAGTGCTTGAAAACCGTCACGGAGATCCAGAGCACAGAGTTCCCATATATAGATGCATCCCAGAAACTAAAAATATTACATGGAAGATAAGCCATAGCCCCAGATCTGCAAGTGTCTTTCTTTTCAACCTGAGTGAGAATTAGTATTTAGTTCACTGGAGATGTTAGAATTGTCCCTTCAATGTCTCCATTGCTGGGTTAGAAGAACAGAGTTCATTGGTATTTTCCTGGCAGTAAACACTTGTTAAAAGGGAGATTTTATATAAAGATAAAAATGAAGGTTTTTATTTTCAAGGCCTGCCTCCTCTCATTATACAGCCTGCACCCAACACACCTGGGAGTTATCAGGGAACTCCCAGACCTCCATGCCCTGGTGGGGGTGCTGTGGGAACCCCAGGTAATACTGGAGAAGAGGGATACCCCTTGGAGCTAAATAGTACTGTTATGTATATGCCAAAGGGGTAGTTTAGTGTTTGCTATCCACTTTTAGCTTTCCAAAAACAGTCCACCTGGGGGAGGAAATAGGGAGACAGGGGCCATCTCACTTGAGAAAGTGTAAGCCTGACTGATGTAGGGCCCCAGAGCAGCAGGCATCACCTCTCCTCTTGGACCTTTTTCAGCTGTCTACTTTGGATTGATAGAGGCATCTGGCTGCTAAAAATACCCTATTGACGAAGTGCTTCCTATTCTAACTAAAGCTCAGCCCTACTGCTGTCCAAAACTGAGCTTCTTGCAAAGGAACTTTTCAAGTTTTCAGGCCCAATCTTAGAGCCACACCAGTCCATGGTCATTTTCTGCTCGGTCAGTTTTGCTGGGTGATGAATGACACCCCACCCACACTGCTGTCTTCTAGCCTGCCCATTTCTGCCTCCAGGAAAAGTGGCGGAGGGGGAGGTGAGGGATCAGGGGTGAGAGGGGGTAGGGAAGGGGAGGTGGCTTGTCCATTTATAGTCTTGCTCTTTGAGATACTGAAGGTGCTGAAATAGCAATGACAAGAGACTTGGCTCCGTGCTAAGTATCTGCAGTGCTGCCTGAAAGACTGGGAGATGACAATAGGGAGAATGGAGAATGTGGAGGTCTTCACTTCTGAAGGCAAAGGCAGGAGTCTGAAGGCCACGAAGGAGTTCTGGGCTGCGGATATCATATTTGCTGAGCGGGCTTATTCTGCAGTGGTTTTTGACAGGTATGAAGTGTGGGGAGTTGCCTTCTTTTCTCCTGTTGGTTTAGCTGGTGCCAGACTCAAAAGATTCTTTGCTTTCAAAATCATCAGAAAAAGGATAAAGTCCATGTGATTATTTTTTAACAAAATGACATTTCCACCTCTTTTTCTGCAAAGAGTCATTGTCAATGTGATTTGCTGTGGTCCCTAGGAGGGTGGTAAAAGTAAGCAAAGGCTTTGGGGCACTTTCCCACAACACCAGTGAACTTGGCTTAATGGGTGTGTTGGGTGTGGGAAGGGCAGAAGCAAAGGAGTGGGGACTTGGGTGTGGTGCTGTAAAAGAAGACTTTCTTACAGAAGGCTCCATGTTTTTAGTTTCTTGGATATAAGAAATGTAGAGGATTAAATAACTAATGAGACTTTGAAAAAGGAATTGTAAATACACAAGCAGCACTGGAATGCACTTACCTTTGAAAAATTAGAATATCACTAATGAAGCTGGAATCCCTTTTGACCTTTCCCATCCCTAGTCTCAGTCACCTCTATCTTTCCCCAGAGGTAATCCCTGTTATGATTTTAATGTGTTTCATTCTAGAATGTTCTTGCACTATTGCAAAGATCTAGCTGCACTTATCAAAATGTACAGCTGTCTAGTTTGTCGATTTTTTTTTTACAGAAATAGTATCATTTTTCAGATGTCATTCTAGAACTTTCTCTTTTCATTGAACATGTTTTTGATATTTATTGTTATGGGAGCTATAAGTCTGTAGATACTTCTTTTAAATATCAAATATCTATTTCTTTTGCCCACATGTATATATATCTATGTTGACTCATATGCTATATGAATCACCATTTTTTATCTTTTGAATCACCAGTAACTGGTAAATATTCCATCCTATAAATATGTACAATTTTATTTATTCACTCCCCTGTTGAAAGACATTTGTGGTTTCCAATTTTTAATAAAAACAAACATTTCTGCAGTTAAAATCCTTGACTATGTCCACTTGTACACATGTGTGATTATTCTCTAGGATATATGGCTAGAAGAGGAACTGCTGTGCCATTGGGTGTGCTGTTTTCAGTTTTAATAGGCTCTCCAAAGTGACTCTAGTAAATTTACATTCCCATTTCCCCACAACCCTGTCCATATTTGACTGCCACACTTTTAAAGTAGTACTAAATCTTTATCTTAAAAAACCTACCCTGTGATTAAATCATGACAATATTCTCAGAGCCCAAATTTGGGGTGACCTGCCTGAGTTTTCTGTGGTCTGAATCATGATGGCCCTTGATAATCTAGGCTTCATGGGTGGCTCACAGTACTGATCATCCTGAGAATGGGCACTGCTTTTCAGAGATAATTTGATTATATTTGGTTATGAAGGAATTCTCCTTTTTTCCTGCCGAATAGTGAATGTGGCATCTGACTATCACCTGAAGAATATAAGGGGCCTTAGGTGACACAAACAGCTCTTCAGAGGAAGCTTGTCCTACTTTATTAATTTATTTGTGTGTGTGTGCGTGTGTGTGTGTGTTGGGGTAGAGGTAAGTGCAGTTAAGAAGTCAGTTGGACTCAGAATTAAGACATAGAAAGCTAGAGACACAAGAGCTCTGAACAAGGATCTTAGTGCTGCCATCTTGCCTTGTCTAGGACACCTCTGTTGGTTACTCCAATTCCCTGAAGGCAATATAGCCAACCAGTTTCCCTTTCAAGAATGTTTGGAGTTGAGTGAGTTTTCCTTCCATTATAAAAGTTAAATGAAGAAAAAATGTATCTTTGCATGAAGATAACCACTCTTTAACATTGTTGTCTGTTTCCTCCCAGTTTGTTTTAAAACAGAAGTTTCCTTTGTTTGAATTACATAGCTGTAATCTTATTATATAAACTATTGTTTTTTCTTTTAATAATTTAGTTATCTTCTGTATTGCTATACACTCTTCATAAACATAGTATTTAATGGCTGCATGCTATCCCACCACTCCTTTATGATTGCACATTTAGGTTATTTACATATTTTTGTTACTATAAAGAATTCATCATTCATTTGAAGTAATAACTTCAAAAACAACCTTAGTGCACATTGCAGATAAACTGCTACATAAAATGTTATTATTATTACAATAGTAATAAAAATTAGGATGATTGGGGTAAATGATCTTTAAAATGATTTTTAAAAATCTAAGAGATACTTTTTAAAGGTGATGAGATACTCTTTAAAGGTGATTTGCTCAAACTTGTTACTGCAAAAGTGAGGGTGTACTCTTTCTTTGGGTATGCCTGAGACCACCTGGACAGGTGTCAAAGGAAAGCTTTGTGTATCCTGACCCCTCTCTCATTTTAGGCCCCTGGTGAGACTGTGCCACTGTAGATAAGAAACCTGACTGAGGAGGTAGGATAGAGTCACTCACAAAAGTCATTCTATAAAAGATCCATGTGTTAACCTAAAAATAAAAGGTCAAAGTGGGAGACAACTAGCATTTATTTGAGATTTAAAAAAAACAGCCATTCGGGACACACTGACTCAGGTAGAAACCCAAATAGTGTTCCGATTAGGAGACAAAGGCAAGGGATATTTATGAGAAAGGGAAGGGAAACAATCACATCAATAGAAGGAAGGCATTTCTCTTGGTGCAGATAAGCTAACCGTGATGCTAATTCTGAAGAATGTTTTTAATTTTCAGTTTGGCAGTCATAATTTTTTTTTATGCTTTTTTATTATCTTTCCTAACAATTCTTTGGGTTATAATGTTTCTTTAGGCCCAGTCCAAAGGTTATTTTGCCCTGTTTTAATACTCCAAAGGTATGAGGAGTAAGATGTGCAAGGCAGTTCCTCTGAGATGGCAGCTCCAACTCCATTTTAGAATAGCTCAGTTTATATTATTTTTTACACGTGTTTTTGCAAACCATGCTTATTTAGTTCATTTAGTTCAAATGAAATGAGAAGATAAATGGTTTTAGTCTTAAGAATGCAAGGACTTCAGCAAGGAGATTGGTCTTGGAAGGACTCTTCCAGCCTTTTGGAGTAGAACCTCCATCTTTTCCAAACCATAAAATCAATTAGTTGGTTAACCCAGCTGACCCACAGACTAAGATCCGGGGGCACAATTTTTCACAGTATGAATAAAATTGCATCATCACCTTCCCCATAATTGTCATCATCTTAAAGCAATATCCACAGGCAATAGATACATGGCCAAACTGGAATAGATTCAGAAATGACCAGGTGAAGGAATCTGAAGTATGTTTTAGAGAACTGTTTCTATTAGCCATCTACAAATAATGACTGTCATCTGTAAGAAAGAGAGTTCCGAACTTTTTTTTAACTAACAAAAGGGTGAGAACCAGACATCTTAAGCAAAAGTTACGGTCATGTTTCAGGTGACACTGGGGGTGAAGAGGTGTGGGGAAACACTAGTCAGAGCTCAAGCCATTCAAGAATTAAGTGGGCCCTGGACACCCTTACTTTTAGGGCACCACCTCACAATATGTCAAAATGTAGTTTTTGCTTACCATTTCTGAATATATTTTTATAACTTTGCCTTTGAAATTGTTATTAATTTCCATTTTGCATTTTTGTTCTTGTCTTAAAAAAGTTTTAGAACCATTAAAAAAGTTTTGGAACCATTTAGTCCCTTGACACTGAGCCTCTACTGCCTGATGAGTAGAACAGGCCTGTCAGTGCTGTCTGGAGATGGAAAGGGCAGTTTCCAAGATTGTGCACTTCTGTGTGACAACCTGGCAGAGATGGTGTATGTGCAGAGTTGAACAATAGAGGAGAATTAAGTCATATGACTAAAGATTTCTTCCAGCCTGAGATTCTATAGGTTGCACGATATAGTCTATGCGCAAAGGATTTCAGTGCAGCAAGAGAAGAGTGCAAGGCTAATACAGGAATAGAGCTTGTTCTGATTATTGTTGTATTTTAGCATCAAATACAAAAATGACACAGGAATGGTGCTTGTGGGTAATACTAGGAGCCAAAAATACTATTTGATTATTCCTTTTAACAGACCCAGATGTCTTGAGTTTAGAGTGTATCTAGCCTATAGATTCCTAACTTGGGTTCATGGATCCTTAACTAGGGCAATACCTATAATTGGAGGATCGAAGTTTGTGTGGATATGCATGCATGATTTTTACTGGGTTGTCAGAAAAGTCGTGACACATTTTTGCAATGAAAAACAGAAAAAATATGTCATGACTTTTCCGACAACCCAATATTTCTGGGGAGAAAGTCCATGGCTTTCATCACTTTCAAAATCACTTTCAACCCAGAAGAAGATTGAAACCCATTGAATTTATTTAATCCTGTCTTACAGGTGGGGAAACTGAGGCTTGGCGAAGTGAAGGGCCTTCCCTGGTCACACAGGGGTTACTCTTCTGGGGTAGGACTAAGTCTTCTGGGATTTCCTCTAGTCATCATCTCTTACTACCCACCCCTCCCAAGTCAGCCCAGAATTGCCTACTTAATTTTTCTTTTGTTCTTGTCAATCCAATTAATAACATTTAATCTTAATAAAAGAAAGGGTACCCATCCATCAATTTTAGAAGAATCAAAATCTGGTTCTGGGGCCTGAGAATAGTTAGGTCCAGAAACTCCTAGGTAAAAATCAGGAATATACATGTGATTACATAGTTGAAAAAAAAAAGTGCTTATAATAGCAATCCAATGTATTAGTTTCCTGCTGTTGCTGTAACAAATTACCACAAATTTTAGTGGCCCAAACAACACAAATTAATTATCTTACACTTCTGGAGATCAGAGATTTTAAATTGGTCCACAGGACTAAGTTTCCTTGACTTTTTTATCTTCTACAATCTGCCTGCTGTAATATTGTGATTTGTAAAAATAAGTGCAGTTATGCATCACATGAAGTTGGGGAGTGGGGGTCTGGGGGATAGACTTGTGGGAGAGCCCTTAACATGTGAGATTTGATGTTATCTCCAGATAGATAATGTTAGAACTGAATTAAATTGTAAGATGCCCACCTGGTGTCAGAGAATTTTTGGTGGTGTG